AGTCTTTAATTGTTATTTTTATAAGCAATCTGGCTTATGCATTTTATTACATGTCAAAACTTACACCATGAAACCACCTCAGAAGAAATGTTTTCAAAATTGTCTTTGGTTGTTTTGTTTCCAGAAAGTATTGTCATTTATTCATCTCATTTCACTACTGATGTGACTAGACTCTTGAAGTGATTGCCTATTAATTTGGAAAGCAAAGTAATACTTAGACAATTATACCTTTTTAACACATTGACTGTCGCACTAGAAAAAAAAGTTTTCCCTAAAGCCATGGTGTTTTATTAAAACCAATCCTTTCTAATTTGTTATTTTTTATTGTTTTCTGTGCATGAGTTTATATGCAATGCAATCCATGTTTTTAGAATTAAATTGTCAATATTAATTGTAACAATAAGAACATCAACAAGTAAGATTTTCATGAACCAACTGCAGGGTTTTGCTTCACGTGGCAGTTAATGTGTTAAAATTGCCCCTTTCTAAAGTTTCTGTTGTCCAGCTGGAGTCTGAAATAATGTTGAACCAAAAATTGGCCATACACTCCAATAAACTCATTCTGTTTTCAGACACATGTTAAATGTCTTTGAAGGTCTGAATATGAAGTCATCATTAGGGCATTTATGAATTAGGATCCTTCTGTTTGCTGTGCTGTTTTTATATAGGATGATGAGTTTTTAACTTAATATTATATAGTTTTATTACCATAGTGTTAAATATCAAATGACAAGTTCCTGAGTTTAAATTGAGTATTATTGACATACAGGGAATCTTAGAATGGGAAAGGTGTTTAGAGATGATTCAGTTATTCCACCAGGTTTAGGGAATCACGTTTTTAACATCCATGTCAGTCCTCCAGGCAGGGAAGATACATAACTTGTTATAGTTTGGAGCAGGTGTAGTAGAATGCTTGTAATTTAAAGTATACCAAATGTATAGATAATCCATTTGTTTTAGGTTTATGCTTACCCAGTTTTGCCTAAAAATCTAATCTCAAGTCCACTAATGTGAACCTTATTTAAACTGAAGTTTAGAATATTTAGAAGAAAAAATGGGTTATCAGTAATATGGTTTCCAAATGATATTAAAATCACATCTAGCTAAAAATGTAAAAGCTCCTATTATTTTGTGAACTATTATGTCTCATAGATGTGTATCTCAGAACTGTTGCTTTTTAAAAGCTCTGCTGAAACCTTTCTTTGGGTGATTGGAAGTGAATTGCCCATTTTGTACAATGGAGCAATTATTTCTTAAGTGGCCACTTAGAGGCAATATAGTAAATTATTTCCAAAGAATGAGTGATGTATGCTCATTGCACCGAGAAGATTAGACTCATTATATAATATTTCATTCTGACAATAAAAATCAGCAGAGCTTCAGGCTTAATTTGTCAGTTTTTTAAATGTCATATATAAGTTAAAGGTAGAAAAAGCTGTGGATAGATAATATCCTACTTGAGTTGTAAAAGGATTTCTCGGTTTTCCAAGGAAAGAGAAAATCAAAGGCTAATTGTGTAGAATAGTATGTGGATTGTCACAGAGCCAGCTTCTTCTGGCCTAGAAAATTGCATGTTCAGCCCTCAGGAAATGTGCTGCCCAAGGTGTCATCCTGCGTGTGCAGAACACAGCCACTAGGTGGTAGTAGAGTCACAGTGACTTTAGCCCACAAAGGAATTGGGTCATTTTGAGCCAACTAATTTCCATCTACAGGGATGAATAACCAAAAATTAAAAACCACTATGCTGTATAAAAACAGAATGTATTTTAGGCAGCAGGGATTGTTATATCTGCCAATTTACAAGACAGCTTAGAAGCCATCTATCCTCTCTTTTCATGTCCAAATTGGAATTTTTTATGTAACTTCTCTATAAAATGGTCTGTAATCTATACCTGAATACTTGAGATATAAACCTCACTACTTTCAAAGGCAGCCTGTTCCAGGCTTGAATATTTCTTAGCGCTGGGAAGTTCTTCCTTATCTTTATCTAAAGTCTGCTCACCCCTCTTGCCACATTCTGCTCACGTGTGCTAAACAGTTCTCTCTCTCCCTGCCATTCATTGCTGCTCCCTGCTGGATACCAGGATCTGCTATATCCCCATTTTCAAGCTACTGATTCCTCCTGTATCTTGAAGCAAGCAGAAAATGGTGGAATTAAATAATCAAAAGGAAATATAGTAATGATCATTTTGTATTTCCGTAGTATTATTTCTCCCTTTTTAATTCTCCATTGACCAAAACCAAATTAAGGTGTAGTGAAAAAAAAAAAAACTGATAAAACTCTCAAGGCAACTTTAAAAAAGATTGTAAGTTTATGCCTATGCAGGAAACAAAAGAATTTTCTTAATTTGAATGACAATCATAGTTTATAGACAGATGGAAGAGTTTTTGTCCTCTAAAGAACTGTTAAAGGTTTACCAGCTAGGTCAGGGTGGCTCACACCTGTAATCCTAGCAGGGTGGGAGGGATTGCTTGATGCCAGGAGTTGGAGACCAGCCAGAGCCAAAGCAAAACCCTGTCTCTACAAAGAAAAGAAAAATTAGCCAGGCGTGCCTGTAGTCCTAGCTACTTGGGAGGCTGAGGCAGGAGGATCACTTGAGCCCAGGAGTTTGAGGTTGCTATGAGCTATGATTAGTCTGGGCAACAGAGCAAGAGCCTCAAAAAAAAAAAAAAAATAGATTTACCAATTAATTTTGTTTTATTTTTCAGATT